ATTAGGTCGGGCCTGTCCTCCTACAGGGGATTTTGAACGAGGAAAAAAATGTCAAACAAATACCCAAAATGGTCAGAAAATACTCACGGAAACGTCCTGACTATGTTTGAACAATTTTCCTTCTGTAGAGGGGCAGGCCCGACCGGAGCCTAGAATGCTGCACCATGCAGCGCTGTACCCTCCCGCCCACGCCCGCTCGGTCGGGAAAGGCACCACGCTGGTGGCCAGCCTCTGAGACGGCGCGCCTGGCGGCGCCTGCGGCGCGCGCGGCGCCGAAGCACAAGACCATGGGGCAGATCAGCGTGGGGCATTCGGGCCTTCGAGGGAAACATGCCCTGGAGCACGGGGCCTTCCCCCAGGGCGAGGTCCTCGTCCTGGGCCGCTCTCTGCCGGTCCCGGGGCCCGTGGAGGGCACCGGGAGCCCAAGCCGGCGCGAAGAGACCTCAGGACCCGTGTGCCTCGGGTCGCGCCTTCAGGAGGCATGCCGTGACATGCCTACCCCGCCGCTGCATGGCCATGTTCGTGTGCAGAGTCGTGGGTTATGTTGGCTCACTTCGGGCACACGACTCGTCCTCGGCGTCTCGTCGCGCCAGGGCGAGCAGAGGGAGGGCGCGCTGCCTGCCAGGGGGGAGGGGGCGCGGGCCTGGCTGCGGGGGTGGCGCGCAGCTGGCGCGGCGCCGTGCCGAGGCAACAAAAGAACGGCTCGGCGCCGGAGGGGGGCGCTCCTGCCTCGCTTGGAGGGACAAAAAAAAAAAAAACATCGACAAAAAACGTTCGGAGGTCCGCGCCAGCTAGAGCCTCTAGGGAGGGCCAGATGCGAACCCTGCCCCTACCCCCTGCGATTTCTGAGGGGGAGGGGCGGGGTTCGCTTTGCCCGAAAGCTCCCGAACGAAGTGAACTCAGAAATCGTGGGGGGTAGGGGTTAGGGTGCGCATCTGGCCCCCTAGAGGCTCTCCCTGGCCTCGCTCCGAGCGACGAACCAAAAAAAGGAAAAATAATATATATATATATATATATATATACATAATAATATATAGATATGCTATATATATATATATAAGAAGAGGAAAAAAAAAAAATAAAAAAAAAAAAAAAAAAAAAAAAAATACGAAAAAAAAAAAGAAACAAAAAAAAACGCGTGGGGTCTCGGTGTCCGCGCGGAGCTCTCGGCGCGCGCCGCGCTGGCTGGAGCCCCCCTCCCGGGCGTGAGCGGTGCCGGAGGAGCGCCGCCATGGGGGGGGGGGGTGGGGGCGCCCCGATCCGAGGGAGCTGCCTCCTCCTCCTCCTCCTCCTCCTCCTCCGCCTCCGCCTCCTCCGCCTGTCCTCCTCCCCTCCTCCTCCTTCCTCTCCCTCCTCGCTCTAGTCCTCCTCTTCCTCCTCCTCCTCCTCCTCCTGTTTCTGTCTTGTGAGCGTCTTCGTGTGCGGCGTTGCGGCATGGGGCGAAGAGGGCGGGGAGGGCAGCCGGGGGGGGGGGGGGGGCGCCGCCCCGATCCGAGGGAGCTGCCCAGAGCGCCGACGGTTTTGTGTTTCTGCCTTGTGAGCGTCTTCGTGTGCGGCGTTTCGGCATGGGGCGAAGAAAAGGGTGGGGAGGGGGGGGGTCTGGCACCAGACCCCTGCTTAGGTGCGACTGCACAAGAAACCCAACCCTGAGACCCCAAGACGTCCATCGATCCTCGGTGTGGGAGCGTCGCGCCTTGCCGTGGCAGAACCATCGAAACCGAAGAAACCCAGGGCACCCTGGAGGCAAGCCATGTGTCTCTTGGCATGGGCCCCCACTTGGGCACCCGAACCATCCGAGGGTAACTCGGGCCTGGGGTACCTCGGGCTTGGATCCCCGAAAAAGCCGACCCGAGTATAAGCCCTGACCCGAGTTACCCCTGCTGATTCGCGGCTCTGGACGCCCGAATCATCCGAGGGTAACTCGGGCACGGGGCACCTCGGGCCTGGATCCCCGAAAAAGCCAACCCGAGTATAAGCCCTGACCCGAGTTACCCCTGCTGATTCGGGGCTCTGGACGCCCGAATAAGCCGAGGGTAACTCGGGCCCGGGGTACCTCGGGCCTGCATCCCCGAAAAAGCGAACCCGAGTAGAAACCCTGACCCGAGTTACCTCTGCTGATTCGGGGCTCTGGACGCCCGAATCATCCGAGGGTAACTCGGGCCCGGGGCACCTCGGGCTTGGATCCCCGAAAAAGCCGACCCGAATATAAGCCCTGACCCGAGTTACCCCTGCTGATTCGCGGCTCTGGGCGCCCGAATCATCCGAGGGTAACTCGGGCCCGGGGTACCTCGGGCCTGCATCCCCGAAAAAGCCAACCCGAGTATAAGCCCTGACCCGAGTTACCCCTGCTGATTCGGGGCTCTGGGCGCCCGAATGAGCCCAGGGTAACTCGGGCCCGGGGTACCTCGGGCCTGCATCCCCGAAAAAGCCAACCCGAGTATAAGCCCTGACCCGAGTTACCCCTGCTGATTCGGGGCTCTGGGCGCCCGAATCATCCGAGGGTAACTCGGGCCCGGGGCACCTCGGGCCTGGATCCCCGAAAAGCGAACCCGAGTAGAAGCCCTGCTGATTCGGGGCTCTGGACGCCCGAAAAGGCCCAGAATAACTCGGGCGAACCCGAGTATGAGCCCCGACCCGAGTTGCCCCTGCTGATTCGGGGCTCTGATCCACCGTAAGAGAACGATCACCCGTGCAGCTCTGCTCGTCTCCGATCTCTGGAGGGGGCGGGGCGGGGCCGGCAGCAGAGGAGGGGAGGAGGAGGAGGAGGAGGAGGAGGAGGAGGAGGAGGAGGAGGAGGAGGAGCAAAAGGAGGAGGAGGAGGAGGAGGAGGAGGAGGAGGAGGAGGAGGAGGAGGGGGGGAGCGGCCCGCGGCACGCGGATCGGGGCGGCTCCTCGAGGCGGCTCGGGGCCCTGGCGGGGCCCGAGCGGAACTGTGTGCTCGTCGCGGCTTCGCGCTGTCCGCCCTGCCCCTCTCTTTGACTACCTACCAGACCACCCCAACCCAACCCGAAGACCCGAATTTCGGGTTGGGGGGGGTACAGGTTCCATACGTGTTTTCTCCATGTTCCACGACCCCCCCCCACTGGAAATCGAGGATAAATTGGGGCCTTCGGGTTGGGTTGGGGTGGTTTGGTGGGTGGTGACTGTTGCGGGGACTCACTGACCAGGAGAGCCCAGAATCGAATCGATAGCTCGGATCGGCGATCGACATGAATCGGAGCGGCAGAGATCGGCGGCCGAGTCGGGCAAAAGTCGAATCGGCGGGAATCGGCAGGCTAGTATGCCTCCAACAAGAAATCGGAGCCCAAATCGGAATCCCAAGTCGAATCGGATCGGAATCGGAAGCCACCAAAATCGAATCGAATCGAATCGGAGGAGTCGAAATGAGGACTCACTGACTACCCACCAGACCACCCCAACCCAACCCGAAGACCCGAATTTCGGGTTGGGGGGGGGTAAGGGTTCCACATGTGTTTTGCTCGATGTTTCCCGACCCCCCCCCCCACTGGAGATCGAGGGTAGATCTGAGCCTTCGGGTTGGGTTGG